AAAATTTTAAAAGGCTGGGGTGTGGCTCAGTGGTAAAGTACCCTAGATTCAATTTGTAGTACCAAAAAAAGAAAAAAAAAAGAAAGAAATTCTAAAGGATAGAGTTGTAAAAGCCTCTGATAATTTAAGTATCTATTTCTCTCCAGAGCAGGCCTCTGGCTGACTGGATTCGAAGAAAAGAAGAGTTTTAACTCCTTAAGTCACTGTCGGGATTTCTGCCTTTGCCAGACATGGTGGCACACACCTGTAATCACAGCGGTGGGAGGCTGAGGCAGGAAAATCTCAAATTCAAAGCCAACCATAGCAACTTAAAGAGGCCTTAAGCAACTCAGAGAGACCTTGTCTTTAGATAAAATATATAAAAAAGGACTGGAGATGCGGCTCAGTAGTTAAGTGCCCCTGGACTCAATCCTCAGTACCCCCCGCCAAAAAAAAAAAAAAAAAAAAAAAAGATTTCTGCCTCTCAGAGGGTTAGACTGGTGGTTACTAGGGGTTACTAAGGTTACTAGGGGCTAAGGAAAGGGGAGAACAGGGGATGAAGTTTGAGTTCAAGATGATAAAAAACAGTTTTGGAGATGGATAGTGATAGGGTTATACAACAGTGCAAATTGTACTTAATACAACTGACATTTAAGATGGTTAATTGGCAAATATCATGTAATTTATATTATCAAAATTTTTAAAAAATGGCTTCTGTCTTTAAATAGCCATGTTGCCTAAATAGAAATTGAAACCCAAGGTTTCACCTAAAACACAAGGGCTCTCCACCATTCAGCAGCTCCTGGCCCAACTCACCTATAAGCAGCAATCTCAATATCCAGAGCCATCTTGACATTTAGCAGGTCCTGGTATTCTCGGAGCTGGGCTGCCATCTCCCACTTGGTGTTCCTCAGCTCAGTGTCCAGCTGCTGAATGGCTTCCTGGGGATGACAGATCATATGTGTCACTCTCTAGTCAATGCCTATCCCTTATCACCAGGATATCTGGGGCTGGCTGTGTAAGCCCAAGCTGCCCTTCTCAGAAAGGCTCACTTGGGACCAAACCCCACCCTATCAAAGCTTCAGGGTCCTCATTTGTGGACATGGAAAAATCTGAAGCAAAAATCTCAGCTTGAGGAAAGGTCTAGAATGAAATGTCTCAGATGCTAGCCTGGTCATGAGATGATATGTGAACTTTCACAAATCTCTTAAAATTAGAAAATGCTCAGTGGGGGGGCTGGGGTCAAGTCTCAGCAGTACAGTGCTTGTCTCGCATGTGTGAGGCCCTGGGTTCGATCCTCAGTACCACAAAAAGATAAATAAAATAAAAATATTGTGTCCATCTACAACTAAAAATATATATATTTAAAAAAAAAAAAAAAGCAAATGCTCAGTGGGACCAGAGCCTTATCTGCATTTTCTCCTTACTGCTTCCCCGGTGCCCCAAAGAGCCTGCCTGCCACATCATCAGGGCTTGAAAACATCTGTTCTTGATGATCTAATGACAGGGACATACACAAAAGCATATTAAATACAAGATAAAACTTGTCATCTCACCCTAGGCCCACTGCAGCCACAGCTTAAAGAGAACTATTATCACTTTTTATTTTCTCTTATTTGTTTCTCTGCTTCCTAAAATCTCTACAATCACTATATATTACTTCTATGCTGTTTTTTGAAAGTTATCTTTAATTGGAGGAATCTGCCAAGGCCCTCCCCAGGCTACCCACAGGTTACTATTAATTGGATGTCCTACTGAGCACTTCAAAGTCTGTCTCTCTTTTTAACCTTCAAAGTTCTGTAAAGCAAGTGTTAGTTTTTGGTTTTCTTTCTTTACCTTGTCACTGCGGAGAAGAAATTTAAGTTCAGACAGGCCGAAAACTCTCCTAGGTCACACAGCTACAAAGTCATGGTATGTCTAACTCCAAGAACCATGGTCTTAACCACTGCATCCTGCTCAGGGAGGGGCAGTGACTTGTACAGGTCACCCAACCAGGAGAGGCAGTTTGTCCCTATGTCTACCTGGTAGGATGCAATGTCAGCCTGATGACGGTCCTCTAGCTCAGAGCGCTGCCTCTCCAGGGAATCCTTGGTGCTTTTCAGAGCCTCCAACTCTGTGGTCCTGGCCTGCAGCTGACGCCGGTACTCAGTTATCTCCTCCTGGGCTGAGCGCATGGCATCTGTATTCACTTTGGCTGCCTCTGACAGTCGGTCCAGCCTCACTAGGTAGAGAAGGGAGCAGGGAACAGGGTTAGACACACCTAGATTTGTGTTCCAATGCCTAGATCTGGAAGGTGACACACATGGGTTGAGGAGTTAGTGTGTGCCAGGCACCATCGTGGATGCTTACCTCACTCTATGCTATGAGAAAGGCAAGTGATCCAGCCTAAAGCCACCTAGCTAGTAAGTGGCAGAGTAGGATTCAAATCTAGTGATTATCTGGTTCCAAAGACTAGACTCAGTCTCCTTCAACCTAGAAATTTATATCAACCTTCAGGGGACAGGAAGCTCTCATTTCTGGTCCAGTACCAGGTCCAGCTCCCCAGCAAGGGGCCAGCACCGCTGGAGACTCAGATGTGAAATTTTGCCCATGAGGTTTAACTGAGCTGAATAATGGAGGCTTGTGGCTGAACTTGTTAATGAGCCTGTGACCTTTGAAGGCATGAGAGCTCTGAGCAATCAGGTCATCATGCAGCCATGGTACATTCCTTTCAGACTTCTGCGAAGAGTCCAAGATCACTGCAAGTCCAAGGTCCTGGGTGTCAGCCCTTCTATTCCTTCCTCAAATTGGCTGTGCATTGCATAGCACAGGAACCTCCCAGTTGATGGCAGCCACACCCTGGCCCCTTCCACCCACAGGCTCCTAGTTCTCAGAAGACCTTGAGGGGGCCAGTGGAGGCCTTTAGATTGGTTTACATCCCCTGAAAATGAACATCCTGAATCCCCACATAATAGCACTGAGAGCCTGAGTCTTGGTGAAGAGAAGCCAGCTGTCTGGACCACAAGCCCTGGGATGATTTGCCTGAGTGAAGGGCAAATTCAAGAGAACAGAATTCCCCTCTGGGAGTGGCCTTGCTGCAGAGATGGAGGAGGGGTTCTGCCACTGCAGATGAGTAGAAAAGGAATGGGAAATTCCAAGCATCCAACTGAGCATTCCTGGCTTTCCCTGCCAGTACTGGCAAAGACTTAGAAATCTGTCCAGGTGGGTGAGAATTCTAACCTATTGTGGATTGCAAAGTCATTTGAAAATCATTGAAGCCTCTGCACTCTCCCCAGAACAAAGCAGTTTTAAAAACAGTTTCAGCTGGGATCATATAAGTTTCCAGACTGAGAAGGTCATTTGGTCCACCCAGCTCTTTCAATCAAAAAGAAATGAAAACCAGAGAGGGCTAATGTTGGTCAAGGTCACCCTGTAGTTGCTGGGCACAGCTTTAGGACAGCTGCGGTCCAGCTGACTCAGGACTACGTGGAGTTGGGTGGTGGTGGGGACTTGGGAAGGTTCCAGGTTGCTTAAGAGAGGGGATTTAAAATAGTGAAGAGGCCAGCCTCAGCCATTCTTGGTCATTGGTTGTGGTGACCCACCTCGGGGAGAGAGGATATGAAAATGCCCCACCCATTTCAACCCGCACTGCAGATTAAGGTGGGGGCATTAGGCACCGAGCAGGTAGTGGGGCGGAGCCTACTAGGGTAGGGGCAGAAGAATGGAGACCCAGCAGAGTGCAGGAAAGGGAGATGGGCGGCACTTGCAGGGTATGCACTAAGGACCAGAAGCCAGCACTACTTTGGAACTAGAGACAATTTGTTTTGTTCTTAATGGGCAAAAATCTCAGACCAGGGGGCCTCAGAGTGGAAGCACAAAGAATCTGAAGGCGAGCAACCAAAAGAGAACCCAGAGTTGGTGGCGTCCTACAAAAAACCTGTGAAAGTTACTTAAGTAGGGGGCATGCACTTTCCTAGGGAAGCTGAGTTGTGAGCCCTCTGATTCTGCTACACGGAATCCAACAACACTTCCTTGGGTCAACCCGGGGGGTAGCTAGCTGCAGGGGCACCCCTCCCCAGCCCCCGCGCGCCTGCGCACCTCGAAACCACTCCTCTGACTGCAGCGTGCTCTGCACCGCATGGCCTTCGAGTTGCGCGCGGATCTCACGCAGCGCCGACGTCACGTCGCACTTCAGGGCGTCGCGCGCCTCAGCCTGCGCCTGCGCCTGCGCGGCGCCGCAACCCTGGATCTGACCGAGCAGCTCGCCCACCTCCTCCTGGTGGTGGCGTCGCAAGTAGCCGCACTCCTCCTGCAGTGCCTGCGCCTTTTTCTGCAACTCGACTCTCGCAGCTTCGGCCTCCTGGGCGAAGCGTGCTAGTGCGCGCGCCGCAGCCTCAGCCTCTTCGCGCTGCCGGGCCTCGTCGTCGAGGCGCTGGCGCACGTGCGCGATGTCCTCGAGCAGGTGCTCCTGCTCCAGGCGCAGCTGGCCCCGCGCCGCGCCCAGCCGCAGCACTGCGCCGCGCATCTCGCGCACCTCGCGCTCGTACAGCTCACCCATGGCTGCGCGGCCTGCCTGCTGCTGTCGCAGCGCGGCAGCCTCTCCCTCCAGGCTGCGGTTGTGCGCCTCAAGCTGCCGCACCTTATCGATGTAGCCCGCGAAGCGGTCATTGAGGGCCTGCAACTGCTCCTTTTCGCTACGCGCCGCAGCCGCTGCCACCACGCAGCCCTCTGGCCCGTTGCTCAGTGTATCTAGCGAGTCGGTGCTTGAGGCGGCGCCTGCGCCACGGAAGCGGCTGGGCGAGGCTGACACGGAGCTCACGGACGTCCGAGTCCACGAGTGAAATCCGCTGGAGGAGCCCGCCGCCGAACGCGAGCCGCCCTTCCGGGCCAGCGCATAATGCAGGCTGCCGCCTCCGTGCAGCGGCGCGAACGGGGCGCCCAGCAGCGCGTCCGCGCCGCCGAAGCTCATCATGGCCAGGCAGGTGCGGGCCGCCGGCAGAGCCGGAACGCGGGGCCGGGACGGGGTGGGCGGCACTGCGACAGCTCCAGGACGCCAGCTCTTTTATAGCCGCCTTGGCCGGGTCCAGCCCCTTGGCAGTGGGGGGCTGGGGAGTCGGGCCCCGCCCTCTCCACCTCCTCCCCCGCGGCCCGGGGCCGACCGGCTTAGCCGCAGTGAGAGGGGCGGGGCAGGGGGAGCAAGGAGTGAAGGGGAATCGTCGCAGCGACTGAGGAGTCTCCCGAGGTCAGGGCAAGAGGTAGAGGACTTCCGGAGAGGACTAATGGGGACCCTCAAGTGCGGGCGGGAAGACACTGCTAGTGTGTTCAGAATAAAAGAGGGGACCTGATATAGGGGGAGAACAACTAGACTTGGTGGGAATCGGGATGGGTGCCTTCGGGGTGGAGCGTTGAGATATGCTGTAATCATTAGGATGAGAGGACCCTTGCATGGGATGGAGCACAAGGTTTTCCTAATAGTTAGGCCTTGGGGATAGGAGATGCAGAGAATTTGTAGCGGGTCCGAAATAGTGAGGGAGCCAGGCAGTTGAATGGGGGCACGGTGTACGCTATAGAGAATAGATAGGGGACTCCTACCGTGTTCCCCTAATTGCTAGAGCACCACTGGGAGAGGACTTAAGAAACTCTGCAGCTGGCTCTGGAATAGGGAAGGAGGACCTGGAGTTGGAAAGGACAGTAAGGCTACCCTGAATTGGGGTATGGGAGACACTGCAGAAAATGAAGAGAGGGACGCCTGGGTGGTGGTGAGGAAAGAGTATTCTTCAAAAAGTCTGCAGTGTGGCCAAGATTGGAAGTGGGAGGTAGCAGCTGACCTCAGTAATAGGGCCCCTAAATGAAGGGACAGAGGGGTCTCCTGAACCACGGAGAGGTGGGCTGTGTTTGAGGGGCAGAGTTATGTACGCTGGGGTCAGCTCTGTAGTTTGCTGGCAGAATGACCTTGGACAAGTTCTGTCGTCCAGTTCTAGCTTTTCCCTTCGTGAGGGGTTCTTGCCCTAGGGACCAGCTGCAACTCCAGAACCCAGGACCATTGTGGAGGAAGGTCTCCAGCTCAATTAGAGGGGAGCCCACATATTGCCTATGGGTATGACAACCATTTTCCCACAACTAGAATATCCATCTTTCTTCTTCTCTTTTTCATCTCCTCAGTCTCAACTTTTCACAGCCCAACCCCCACAACAGACAAACTGACACCTCCACAGGCATCCCTTCTCACTCCCAAGGAAGTGGTGGGATGCTTTCTTACTATCAAGTCCCTCATCCCTGTGAGCCCTAGTGGGGAATCAGGCAGAAAAAGGGGTTCCTTGGGTTTGGGGACTCTGCAGCTGCTTTGTTATGGGGCTCTTTCTTGGCTTTGCTTCATGTCAGATGCATTGGGAGTGGGGGTGGCACTGCGGCTGGCATTTCATCAGTGACAGAGCCTGCTTCTTGTTGGGGACATAGGGGTTAATCTCTGCCTTTGCCTTTACCTTGGAGAGGGGAGGGGTGCAAGCTGTCTCTTGCCCTGTGCTATTTGGATAAGAACCGATGACGGGGGTGGGTGAGTGGTCTAGAAAGTCACAGTGAGCCAGAGACCCACTCCTGGATGTTTCACTAGGGATCTATTTTCTGGGAAGTTCTCCATGCAAACCTGGCCTGTACTCCTTTTCCATTGGGCGCTGAAAAGACCCCCAGGGATACCCTGACATCCTCTGGAAATCAGAATAGACTCCCCTCCCAGATCTGAATCTCCCCAAGGCAGTTATTTCAACCCCCACTGCACCCCTAGCTTATCCTCTTTTTCCTTCTCTTAGGATCCCCAGGACAGAGACCGACAGACCCTCCAGAAAAAGATCCCTGCCAATCCCTTTCTCTTTGCCCTCTCTCATGCCCAGACAACTGGTGTTAGGCAGACCCTCAGAGCTGGGGAAGTGATGGTGCTGTTCCTTTAACCATGTTTTACTGGAAGGAGAGTGCGCTGGGGAGCAGGGAAGAGGGGGAAGGGAGTTTCTGGCTTTGCATGGAGAAGCAGAACATGATGAAGCATTTTTCCCCCACTTAAAGGTCCAGTCATGCTTTGGTTTGCAGGGGGCAGAGGGGCTGGTTTTGCAGGTGATGCTGGGAGAATGAGGTGAGTGGCTGGTCTGAGGTACTGGAGAAAGGCATGGGGTAGAGGGGTGCTTGGGCAGGACCCTCTTGCTGTCACATGGCTCCCCAGTTATTTTTCATTCTGCTTGGAATTTTGCCATTTGATCCTTCTTACTTTGAGTCTCATCAGTCCTCTGCACAATGCAGATACTTGCTCTGGGTGTGGGAAGGCTGATAGGAGGGATGGGAGTAAAATAGGAGGGGGCAAGATAAATTTGTTAGGGCCAGAGACCTCACCCATCAGATTACAGCTTCCTACAGATTCCAGAAATCCAAAGTATGATTTTTTATAGCTGGAAAATTGGCACAAGATCTGGAATCCTGAGGTCATTCCCTCAAAAGACCCTTCAGGCTTACTAGAAAGCCATCCTTGGCCTCCTGCCCCTCCCCACATTTAGGTAATTGTCCCCTCCTGAATGTTCCATGGTCCCTAATGTTAAGTCTTAGCAGTACATTCACTCTGTGTCATTGTGTGAATGAATGATGAATGAATGAAAGAATGAATTCCATTAGTCCTCCAGACAAACTTTCAGTCCAGAAGGAACTAAGAATGATTCCGCCCTAAATCTGTGTGCCTCAAATCACTTTCACCTTCTTTCCTATGGTTCTTACCACTTGGAATTAATTAGAACAACTTATTATTTCATTCATCCTTCATCCTTCCATGCCTCCATCCCTCCCTCCCTCCCTCCCTCCCTCCCTCCCTTCATTGCTTATTGAGCACCTGTTATGCTATAGGCACACACTAAATGTTGAGATTATAATATCCCACAAGCTTCTAAAATTATCTCTGGATTCTCAAGTTCTTCTCAAATCCCAACTCATCATTTCCTAAGGCACTTTTTAAAAATTTTTTTTTTTAGAGAGAGAGTTTTAATATTTTTATTTTTTAGTTCTCGGCAGACACAACATCTTTGTTTGTATGTGGTACTGAGGATCGAACCCAGGCCACACGCATGCCAGAGGAGCGCGCTACCGCTTGAGCCACATCCCCAGCCTCCTAAGGCACTTTCAAGATGATCATAAGTGCTATAGTCTGGATCTTGAATACCTCTGAAAGGCCCATGTGTTAAAGACTTGGTTTTCAGAGTGGTGCTATTGGGAGGT